CCTTGATGGTGGTCCACCACCTCTGTCCCACCATGGTTGCAGCTGTTATAAAAAAATGCACTTTTAAAGTTAAAGCATTAAGTAAAAACTGCAGTGGTCTCCTACAAAATAATTGACTTTTTTTACAATCGGGATCCTATTTCTCCTGGCAGTGCCGAATTAAAAAAAATAGAGAAAAAAAGGAAATTATAATAAATTTAAGTCTGGGAGTGCTATTTCTGGGCATCAAGAGCTGTCTCTTATACACATCTAGATGTGTATAAGAGACAGATAATTTAAAGCAGAAAAATGGCGGCCATTTTGAATGCGTAATTTGGAGGTGTTCCCCCAAAGGGATTTTGGGTAATTTTGAGTTCTGAACTTCTCAAGACCTATATTTTCAGAAAATATCAAAATTAGCCGGTAGTACTTCCATTGCCACATCGACGATTTTTAGAGGACTTTTTGACCATAATCTGCTCGCCTAACTTGGGACCCCTGCATTTGGTAGTAAAATGTATTTTAAACATGTTTGTTTAATACCTTGAAAGTACTTTCAGTAGTAAAGTGGTTGTAAAGCAGTTTATTCATTAACTTGTCATCAAGTTAATGAATAAACAATGTAGTATGCCATCAATGATTCTGGTGCTAGAAAATAAAAAATGTTGTAGAATTCGCCTTCTGGATCCCTGACAACTCATGAATACATAATTATAAAGATTGTCTCATGACTTGTCAAAATTTTTGGGCGGTTCACGTTTAATTTAACCATAATTCATGCCTGTTGAAAATAATGTAGTCTCAATACCGTTACTGGCTATAGGGCTTTCATCATCATTTAAATTTACAGGCACACTTTATAATGGTTTAAGTACAGTTAGTGAAAGAACCAGTTAAAGAAAACATGGTGAATCCATTGTGTCATGAAGATAAGATTGCAAATTTGCTTTCTATCTATCATATGTTTCTCGTTACAATAGTTTCTCATCCAGATATGAATGGGCGGTGAAATTAAATACAATTTGTTTTCACCTCTGTTTCCCTCAGGAAAGCTGATTCATTCAATAAGTTGTTTTAGTGATAAAGTAGTTGGCAATGAAACAATTGATTCTGTTTCTTTTGTTTCTAAATTGTTTGCATCAGGAATTCAAGAGGAATAATAAAATGCAGTGGATGGCACAGATCAAAGGACAATATGCTATCTCATTGACGCCATTAGCACCATGCAATGAAACATGTCAACAATTCAGTTTTGAACTCAATCCTGGAGAAATTTGTGAGTTATTATTATTTATTAGTTCTTTAATGCTGTCTTTATAAATCAGAAAATCCTGAAGTAGCCAATTAAAGCCATCAGTGTTACCTGAAATTCCCCAACAGTGGTGGGTGTCCATGGTCCCCTATAGGCGGTCCACGGCCCCTCTCCCAAGGAAAGTCCAAGTGTCCTTGATGGTGGTCCACCACCTCTGTCCCACCATGGTTGCAGCTGTTATAAAAAAAATGCACTTTTAAAGTTAAAGCATTAAGTAAAAACTGCAGTGGTCTCCTACAAAATAATTGACTTTTTTTACAATCGGGATCCTATTTCTCCTGGCAGTGCCGAATTAAAAAAAATAGAGAAAAAAAGGAAATTATAATAAATTTAAGTCTGGGAGTGCTATTTCTGGGCATCAAGAGATGCCATAATCATAACATTTTCTTAACTTAGCCCCTCCATTTTGAATTAGTGGATCCGCCACTTCCTAGATCACTGCTGGTGCTGCCACTGATTAAAATATTGAATTACTCATTTTAAAGAAGGGTCAAATGAACTGTCAACTTCAAAAGACACAGATTAAAACACAGTTTAACTGAAAATTCCTATATTATAGTACAGAATTGTCCTGTAGCTAATTTTCAGGATCTATGCAAAGATATGTGAACACTTTGCATATGTGTTTTGTACCTGTTTTGACTTGACTGTATTTATTTTATGGCTAAAATTTGAATTTAAAAAAAAAAGTATTTATGCATCTGTAAATTGAACAATAACTAAAAAATATATTCAAATATTTAATTTAGTTACTTAAAAAACAGACAGTACAGTTGATGACATCATTGTTTTTGAGCTTGTCATCCTGTGCGTCTACTCATCTTCGGCCCGAGGCCGAAGCAGCACTTTAGAACTTACTGCATACATGACTACGACACAAAGACGCAAAACAGCTGCTTCAAGCTATCAGACGAAAATTTTATGATCCAATACAAATATATAATTACTAGCGATATATTAAACTTATTTTGTCCACACTAGAGCTGAAATTAAATGAATGCATACAGTATTTTGAAACAGGTGATGACTAACAGTTAATGATGAAGTAAAGTTCTAAATGGGTTTATTGAATAAATTTTTGTCTTCACAGCAGTTATGGTTGGTGTGCGAATTCAAATTGAACATTTTGTTAATTGTGATGGGTTTTTTTTGTCTCCTTTTCTAGTGGTCTTCACTCCTAAGATGTGGTCTTTTGAGTATATGCCATACGGAGAAGCGGATGCCATAGCTCTGGCTTCAATGGGAGACTGGGAATAATGCTAACGGTAATTGATACCAAATCATGCATACTATATATTGAACAAACTAAGGTGCTTTAAAAACCAGGGAGGGGGAGGGGAGTACATATAAATTTGGAAAAAATTGTTGTGCCTCCAACGGTGAAAATTGTATTTTTAAAATGCCTTCAGACAACCTTTGCACACAAATTTTTAACCCAAAAAAGCAGTTGTATTGAGGGGGAAAAAAGTGTGCACTGAATGTATGTATAGATAAATTTTTTTTTTTCTTCATGTAGGGCGCTAATTGGCCAAAAGTAAAATTTTATTTTTATTTGAAATCATCAATATATTTGCAGTCGGCGGGTTCGCCAAACAAGGTATAAAAAAAGTCTTGCCCAGTCTACAAAATTCAAATTTTTGAAGCATAATTATGCTTTTAAAAATATGGAACATTTTATGCTGATGAACAAAAACAAGAATATTCTATTTTCAGAATGTCTTCCATATAAACCATAAAGCTATCTTTAATTTTTATTTTACCAATACATTTTACATTAAGTACTATGAAATACACTTTAAGGGGATGGTAGCGTGCATATAATAGTAATAGGTGAGAACCCAGGTAGCTATAGAGTACTGCACCAATTTCTAATATTTTATGCCTTATACTTTATAGAGTTGCGTCAGTAAGAAATCTAAGCTTTCTTCTTAAATGAAATAAAAGTACCATTTAGTAAAAAGTAATAGGTGAGAACCCAGGTAGCTATAGAGTCCTGCACCAATTTCTAATATTTTATGCCTTATACTTTATAGAGTAATGTACCATTAAATTCATAGCATAGGTAATAAATTTTATATAAGAAAATTTGTACTATTTTCATTTTTTTTAAATCAATTATTAATCTACATTATCTCAGGCTAACACCATTAATTATGCAAGTCTGAGTTCGTATATTCTGGCAAGCAAAAAGTATCTCATTAAAATTCATTACTGTCAATTTTGAATTGATAACATTCCTTGAAGTAATTTTTTCCTAAAATGTACTTGAATTACAGTATTGCATAGTCAGCCTTGTTTAATGTAAATATTTTCCCTGATATTTCATATAATTATATATATTCAAGATATATACTAATTAAAAATATATTTTTCTTACCTTACAATCGCTACATGTATTGCCGACAGCATAAAGTGATTCTTTGTCGGTCGAATTGAGGAACCTTTCCAAGTGCGTCAGGGACTGCTACGCAGTACGATTGCACTGAAAACACTGTAGCAGTAACAGTGTAGCGATCTTAAGGAAACCAGGCCTAATACTATAAATACTAGCATTATATGCTCTCAATATATATATATAAAGATTTAATGAACAGTGCATAATACCTCATAAAGAGCTTTATAATCAAATCACATTTCCATTAACATAAATTTCTCTTTTGTAATATTTAGTTCTTATATTTTATAAGTCGTAACATGTACAACTTTATTGTACCATTAACTTGTATATTCTTTGTCTGTTCTTAAAAAAAACTACTTTTTTTACCATTAACTTGTATATTATTTGTGTCTGTTCATGAAAAAAACATGCTTTTTAATCGTTTGAAGTTTGTTGTTAAGCACTGTGCTATACTACACTAAACTGTATGTGGCAGAGACAATGTATAGAATTCACACAAGTAATATACAAAGGGCAGCTTTGTTCAGTTGTTTTGAATATTTATTAAGCTAATAAAACGTTATGCTATTTTTGAATCATTGTCTTGCATATGGAGGATTTCTGTTATGATGTTGACTATCATCCACATATACTATACTTGTATTACTTTGATAAAAGTGTGAGCCTATAGGGTAATGTCAGCGGGGGAGCAGGGATCAAAAATTAAAAATTGTCTATCCCAAATATTGTGGTCTAACAGCACAATTTGGGACATAATAAGCCATAAAAGCTCTACCTGTAAACCCTACCAGATATTTGTTATTACGGGATCCCAACTGAGGCTCTATTCGGCCAATTGGTTCGGACCCACTGTCTGCGAATTTCTGGAGCCACCACTGGTTGGAAGTAAGGGTTTCTAAATTCAGAGAAGCTGCTGTTGGGAAATCTGGTTTAATGATTTTCCGTAACACATCTAATATTTTGGTGGCACCGGAGCCATCTGAGAATTTATAATACAGTAGTAAAAATATGCAAACATCATGGATTTGTGGAGATGGCCAAGTTACAGGAAGATTTGTGCATGCTTGTGGGAGTACAGAGGATGATACCAATTTCCGGGAGACTACACAGGAGACCTGTACCTGTACAAGAAAATTTCTACCTTGGTGATTTCTCTATTAGTTGCCTCCTAGCCTCGTATAGTATAATACTTGCTGCATGTGCAGAGTTTAAACTATTCATTCCATTTGACATTGGAATGAAGACTTTACTTCCATCACTTTTTTCACAAAGTTCAACGGCTTCAAGACTTAAGCCATGGCTTTCACCTCCTATAACAAGAGCACAGGGATTTGTCCAGTCTAATTGAAAATATGCTTCAACAGCAATTATTGGTAAAACAGCAGCTAAATTCTGCATCAAAATTTTATCCGATTTTTTTTCTAAAACCACTGGGCCTTTTCTCTGTATATACGATTCATAGTCCCTTTGTTCTCTCTCCGTGAAATTCCCATCTGCTACGTGCACTTGCGCTATTTTGTAACTGTCCAAGTACAAGTGCATTTCTTTCCAGCTGATGTTTGATTGGATTGAAATTCGAAAGTGTGCACCACAACCAGCACGGAGGACCTTTGGTTCCCAGGTATCAACACAACCTGAATGAAAATAAAGCAGTAAAATATAGTTGGCCGGACCCCACAGTGGCGTATCTATGAGTATTAAAATTGGGGGTGGGGGGTCTGATAGGGGCATGACAGTGGAGTGAGAAAGCTTGATGATTAAGTGGTGCTAGCTGGCAAGAAAGGTGATTTTTACCTGCTTGAGCCTACTTTTTTTTTCTTTGAAAATTCCCAGTGAGGGTTAGGGTGACTGGGGCTACCTGTAGATATGCTACTGGAGTGCTGGCTGATAATTTATACAATGTCAGCTAAAAAGTAAGTTTATAGCTTATTTAGTTATTAACTATGAATTGAAAATCAAAACAAGAAAATATTTTTCTCTTGATTAAACCTTTCTTATAAGCTGATAAATTTATTCAACATAATATTTAGCTTGCTATTAAGTTGTACATTACTATTTTGTAGAAATCCATTGTATTATACCACAAACCTTTCGTGACAAGAACATTGCGGCAGTTAACAGCAGCAGCAGACCTCAGTAGTGCCCCTAAGTTTCCAGGTTCTCGTATATTATCACAGATCAGGGTCACTGGTAAATGCATCTCATCTTGCAGCAAACAAAGTTTTTCTGTATCTGGTTTTTTACAGACAGCTTTTAAACAGAAAAAAATGTATAAACATAAGACTAACAATCACAAGTATTAATATTATGAAAACAATTTGGGCTTATTAGTAACACAACATTTTTTTCTCCCCTTTAAGAAGCACCACTCCAAATTTTATTTTAATGAATAGCACAAAAAAAGTTTATATAGCCCACATTTTTTTGTTAAAAGTAACCATAAACGTATTACTGTATGATTGTAAAATATAATTAATTTTAACTGTCTTTTGGAAAGTCAAATGGCCAAGAATTTATTTGAGGGGGAATTCATCAATAGAGAAGACTCCTAACTTGATTGGCATAAGTCTTGAATACTAGTTTCCAACCTAGAATTCCTTGTGGAGAAGCCACATCTGACCACATGCTCACATCTTTCTGAGGAACTTTGACAAACTTTGCATCCAAAGAATCCACCGGTACATCTTCTAAGGCTTCATGTCGGCAGAAGTAGATGGTCTCTATGACTGCTCCTGCTAGAATGGCATCTGTGATCAATCTTTTCCCTTCTAAAAGCACTTTTCCTTTCTTATCTCTTTGCTGCTTTGACTTCACAAGTGTCATTGCTTTCCTTTGAACACAATAAAAAGTTGAAACTACAGTTTGCAAATTATTTGACTACTGCCCTCTATAATAAAATAAAAAACAAAAGTTTAAAGAACAAATAAAATAAAAATGTTTTGTAATACCCTAACTGTGTATCGCCAGCCTTCACTTTCTCATATGGAAACCTATGTGTTTGCATTCCTTTCTGTTCAATAAATGCGTCATTTTGAACACTTGGTTTGAGTATTGGTGATTCCTGCAGCTTTCTGCTTTGAAGCTGTGGGACTTTTGTAGATACTGTAAGGTTTTCATTCAAATGCAATTTCTTTGAAGACTTCTGGCTTTCATCTGAAATGTAAAAAATCAACAGTGAGTAATTTCCAACTAAGGGTTGAAAATTTCCTATCAGGGGCAAGTAATTTTTTTCCAGGGTTTTGAATTTTTATGGCAAGGAATTTTCCTGGTAAGTAGGTTGGGAAGTATCCACATTTCCATCCCCTCCCCCACCCAACAAGTGTTTTATTCCGGCTCTTACCCCTGAATTACTACCTCATGCTGTCATCCTTGCCATGGTATACCATTTTTTGCTGTAAAATTACCCAACCATATTATTGGGATAGTACCCTTTTTGGCGCCACTTTTTGAATAAATGAAAACCAGTAAAATATTGCCCAGACTCTGTGTTCTTTTTTTCTTGCCAAAATTTTCTTATTATTTTTTATACACTTTTCAAGATAGAAAAGTATTATTGTGCAGCAATATTATTGTTTGTACTGTATCATAGAGGTTATTACATAGTCACACTTACTGCACATACGGTTTTTGTTCTTACCTTTTAAGCAATTTCAGCCTCTTATAAAATGTGTTCAAATATTATTTAGAAATGTACCAATCTTAAACTTTATTTAAATATTTTATTTTATATATATGTGTATATGTATGTATATATGATATTGAAACATATACACATGCATATTCGTTGAAAAGCTACAGCGTAGCCTACGATGTTCCATCATGTCCTTATTTAAACACTGTATATGTACCTTTGATGATTTATATTGTATGTATATATGTGTCTATATGAGTGTATATGTATGTTTGTGTGTGTGCATATATTGTGTGTACGTATATGTGTGTGTGTGTTCACATGTATGTATGTGTGTATGTGTATATATATGTATGTATGTGTTTGTATGCATTATAACATATATACATACTTATATATATACATATATATTTTTTATAAATACATACATATATACATATATATAAGTATGTATATATGTTATAATGTATATATGTATGTGTATATTAGCTATTAAATTTTTACAACCGTCATAATGTGACGTTTTTAAATAGATATTGTGATTTGTTTTCATTCTAAATCATGACGAGAGCTACGGCGATAGGTCGGCTAGGCTAGGGCCTAGCCTAGGCGAACACCGGCTAGCCTAGCTATTCTAGGCTATGGTTCACCAGCGTGACACCAGACCTACGTACCTACCTAGGCCTACAGTAACTAACTGGAAGCAGGTCAACTCGGCCACAGTCCAACTCGGCCACAAGTTATTTATAATTAAAATGAAATGTAAATATTACTCAGTTTTTGCATCATTTTTTTTCAATATGATTGAAATGAAGTACACAGTATATTTTAGTAAAATTCTGATCATCGCCGTGAGATCGTTGTATTCGTTTCTTAACACTGTACTCTTATTCAACAGAGAAAACCCGCCACTTACAGAATGGAATAAAATCTGACAATAATGTAACATTAACAATTTAAGCAATCTTAATAATTAAGAAAAACACATAGGGGCCTACCGGTATATTAATGTTTAATTTTTTTTCGTGTTAAAACACTGACATAAAACATGAGTACATACTTTAGACCTAATCATAAACAATTGAAATAGAAAAACCACATTATGATTTTTTAAATGTTAAAAATTTATTTTGAATCCTACTAAAACCAAATGAATGCACGATGCTGTGCATTTCGATACTATTTTCTTTAGAACCACGCCCAAGAAATAGGCCTACGTTAAAATTAGGTGGGGTGCATAGCATCTAGTAGGCCTTCAATTATCCACAATAGGAACAATTGGTATTGTTGAGTGATAGACATTTCACTTCAGTCCTTCATATTTGTTCGACCATTTTGGGGGCTATGTTTGAAACCCGTCAGTGACAAGGATACATCCGATGACGTGAATCACCGGTGATATGTCGGTGACACTTCCTTTTCAAATATTTACTTTAATAATACTAATTAGTCATAATAACGATAATAAAGGTGATAACAACAACAATATTAATACTGTAGTAATATTTATTTTAATACTCAATAGTAATAATACTAATATGGTATTAATAGCAATATTTAAATATTTATTTTGATAATACTAATTAGTGATAATAATGATGTTGAAGGTGATAATAGCAATAACAGCAATAATAAATTAAAGATGTTTATTTTTATAATAATATTAATACTAATTAGTAATAATAATAATGATGATACTTATAAGACTAGGCCTACTTAGTAGTAATAATATCGATAATAAAGGTGACAACAACAACAATAATATTAATAATAATAATAATAATAATAATAATATGAGAAAAATACCAATAAAACACCAATAACAATATTTTATAAATTACTATTATTAAAATAATAATACTAAGACTAATATATAATAATAATAATAATAACAATAATAATAATAATATATAAATAAAAAATCGAGAATTATTTATTATTTATCAGCAAAAATTTAAATATTACATAATGTTAATGCTAAGACTAATAATTAATATTAAAACTAACGGTAATAAAAACAACAATAATAATAACAATAATAACAGCAATAATTATAACAATAAGTATAGTAATAGTACTTAAAGAATTAGTACAGTATTTTATTGATGAAATACTCCTTCAAAGTGCAGTAGTATTAATACAGTAAATGACTTGTGGCCGAGTTGACTTGTGGCCGAGTTGACTTGTGGCCGAGTTGATTTGTGGCCGAGTTAACTTGTGGCCGAGTTGACTGTAGCCAAACTTTTTGTGGCCGAGTTGACTTGTGGCCGAGTTGACTTGTGGCTGAGTTGACTGTGGCCGAGTTGACTTGTGGCCGAGTTGGATCAAATTCTAACTAACTAACCTTTGTATTGGTGGTATAAAACCTGGATGAGATTCAAAACAGTATTATGATGATCTGATGAGGCAGCAGTGACAACGTATTAATTATTATTTTTTATATTATTAATTATATGAAACCTTTTTTCCGAGATTAGTACTACTCTCTGGATACATTTTTTTTTGTGTTAATAATTCAATTTCAACAGAGTGGTAAAACTGTGCTGTCAAATTTTGTGGCAGAAGCAACTGATCTTGCAGGATCCGAGTACCGTCCAACTCAGGGTGTTCGGTAAGTCTATGGAATGATAATGTAAACTTCTACATAAATATTAATAATGATATACCTGTATGTAGTTAAGTAATTATATAATAAATTACCAGTACATGTTACAAAAGAACCAGATTGTATTACACTTTCATTTAATTCACCTTTTGAATCAAATAATTTACATAGAGGCCTAACATATTATTAAAATACTATTTTATTAAGTTATATTCATCCTATGAAGACAACAAAAAAGAATGAATACAAAAAGTAATAAATTATCTATAAAAATTCAAGACTATTCCAAATATCAACTCAAAAGTTATTTATATTAAAAATTACATTTATAAAATTATAAGGAAAAAGCCTTTTATACAAAGCCCCATCATTATTTTACACCAGAGCCGACAGGATAACTAGTAAAACAGATCATTTCCCAAGTTTTGTTGGAAGTGTTTTAACACATTTTTAGTAAAATTATTCCTTTAAATGTTGGTTACTTTTCATCCAGAATTTTGGAGTTTGAAAGTGCAAGTCTTGAGAGCGATGGCCAGTCTTCAACACTTGATGTGGAATTGTGGGATTGCAGTGGTGATACAAAGTAAGGGGTTTTAAATTGTGTGGCTTTTTTTTAGTAGATAATGGATTTAAAGTTACAGTGTTTTTATGTTACTTAGTATAATAGTGATATTAAACATAATTTATTCCTAATTGTCACTTGTTTGTTTTACCGGAAACAGTACAAAAGACTCCTCAGTGCAGCTTAAACAAATTGTAGTTTACTTATTAGGATAAGCTGCCCCACTGTTATACACCTGCTAACCCTCGCGCATATTAATGTGAGACGCGAGTCTCATGCATGATCATCCACTTTTTACATCTTGCGCCTGCATTGTATTATCTCACGCATCATAAAAGGTAAAATATATAGGCTAGTTATACACTAAAATTCATAAAAATGAAGTGAATTTGTCCTTAAAAAAACCTGCAGGATACTGATGATGAGAAGCCATATCAATTTCTGTAATTAACATAGCTGTACTGACCAACTGTAATCCATAGCAGTTCCACTACAATTGATTGTTACATAGAGGGCGCTATATAAAAATGTTTATATCTTGTTTGTTGTCTTATGGATTAGACACCAACATAGTTGGCAGGTATACTTTTATTAAATTACTATAGAATTAACATTAAGTAAAACTATTGTTCTTACTGTTGTGCTTAGGTTTGATGAATGTTGGCCTTCAATTATGACAAATGTGAATGGTGTACTTCTTGTGTACAATCATGATCAACCTAATCATGCTACGGACTTAGAAATGTGGTGAGTATATATTTCAACTTCAAGGCTACCTGTGCTAGGCGGGAGCTTGCCTCTAATGTGTCAGCTCCTGGGTTCAAATCCTGTGAAAAACCACAGTTTCCTGCATTACTAAAGCAAAGTCTACTTCCTAATTTTGTTAGTACAATAGGAAGATACATTGAAATTAATTTGTCATTCTATAATAGTAGGTGGAGCTGTATTAGTCAGGTATAACTATGTAAAATTAAACACTAGTAGCATTATATTGACTAACTTTTTAATTCTGTTTCACTAAACAGCGCATTGAGACTTTGTTTATGCGCCATAGCAAATCTATATACATTACATTACAATACATTTATTGAGATGCATTTGTTAACAACAACAATCTCTGCCTCAAGTGTATCTGGTTATTGGTTCAGTGCATGTGTTATGAGAATTTTTTTAATAATAGTATATAATTTCTTTGCTCCCCTGTAGGTTTACAACGTTTGTGGCTCAGCAAGGTTTAAAGGAGTCTCAGTGTCTGGTCATCAATAACTGTAAACCGTCAACCAGTGAAAGACGCAAAACACAATTATGTAAGAAACCTTCATTTACTCAACTTACTTGGGTCAGCGTCGCTGCCTCAGTGGTGCACGATAGCGGAGCCTGAGGCACAGGCCAAAGGTGGAAACTATTGGAGCTCAGCATACCACCTTGTGTAGAGTATCTGTGAATACATGGCTACATAGAGAGAGTGACGCTGACCCAAGTACGGCTCATGTAATTTAATTGTTTCTGGTTCTTAAACTTCATTGTTCTTTTGTCTGTCATATTTTTGACTTTTTCTTTAAACGAATACCGGCGCTTTAAAAGTTTTCATTATTATTATTATTATTATTACATCTCACTGATTATCTACTTGTTTTGTACATAAAACTAATCATTCATGCGACATTTTGTTTTTGATCACAAAATTTCTGTTACTCTAACCTTTTACTTCTAAGCTTTTTAACCTTTATTATGTTCATTACTTTTAAACATTAATTTTAAAATGTTTTATTTTATAGAATCTGAAAAAAATGTATATATAATTAGTAGAGAAATACTAATTACTAACATTGCAACAATTTGTACTAAGCGCCACTATCGAATAAGCGCCTCTCTTGAGTGTAAGCACCAAATTAAGAAGGTTTCCAAGTATAAAAATGTGCTGCGGCGCCTATTTTGTCATTTGTGGTTATGTTTAAGGATATTATACATTAAACAATTACAGTCAATTAATTGAGTTAACAAATCATCCACATGTTTGTATAACAAGGTCACATCTCTGTTTTTGCTGTTGTAAGAAAACAGCACTATTGGTTTTGAATCACTGTCAGTATTAGGCCCAATAAAAAAAATATTAGTTTATTACCCTATCTAGGCTGGAAAAGTTAAGAGAGAGGGGGGCTTTTTATTTTTTATTTTGCTAAAGCCAAATATGATTTCATCCTTGGGGTGTTTGCAGGTGCATTGATATTCAAAGTAAAACATGAGTGAGATAACACAAACAATATCTAAAAAGTCGAAAAAAAATATTCCACATTTTTTTTTTTTTTTTTTTTTTTAATACCATGAAAGACATGCATGCAGGTGAGATAAACTAATCTTTAATTTTTTTTTATTGGGCCTTACACAAGGGTAAAATTCAAATTCAAAATGTCTTTACAATCAAAGTAAACAGAGATTGAATTATACAGTACCATAAAAAATACAGTAATTGAAAGAAGACAAAACAAATATACATTAAAAAGTTACAATAGAATGAAAAAGGATAAAAATAAGTAGAAAACTTATTCATTCAATTGAATTAAAATTAAACTAAAATACCATTGTTATAACTATTGTATTTGTTATTTTATTCATTAAATTATTTAAGTAAAAATTAGAAAAAAAATTATCAATTCAAATTGACATATTTACAATTAAACAACAATTTAAATTGATTTACAAATACATATAAAAATATATTTCAAACTTAAGAGGTCAATTAAAAGAATTAAATTAAGATATAAAAATTAACCAAAAAAATATCATCACAATGACATCGATTAGGAAGTACTGTGGCTGTGAAATGTAATTTTTTATTTTTCAAATTTTTTCAGCACCAGCAGTTTCAAAGCTTACTCATGTGAATGTGAACTTAGAGGAGAATGCAGAAGGTGCCAGAAAGGAGTTCCAAATGTTTTTAGGGCAACTAAGGGGAGCGCTCAGTGCAAAGCGAGACCAAGAGGAGCTTAGCATTATCCAATGATAACCTAGCTGGTGTACACATCAAGTAGAAATTGATACATCTGATGCATCTTGATGTGACCTCATGTTGTGTTTCCTGATGACATTTTTATGGTTGCCGGGGGAATATCAAGTTGCAACCAATTGGATTGCAGTTCAGTGTCTGATTTATATTAATGTAATCCAGTGGTTTATAGAAGAATCCCTGAAGTGTATAGATATGTAAATTTAAGTGGTAAAGCACTAAATGTTGCTTTAATAACTTCATAAACATTCTATATAGCAAATACAAATTATGATGTACAGTATTTCTTTATAATAGAATTACTATGTTGATATGTACAAATTTATTTCAAAAGATGTCACATAATATGAGGTTAAGTACTTTTATTGACCGACCTTGAAGGAAGGTTTGAAACTTTAGATAACTATGTGAATTAGTGAAATGTTACATATAATACAACAAAGATGTGCCATTTCCTCACTGTTTTCCTGAACCAGACTCGACCACCTCTGTCAAATGTGGATTTCCACATTTTTACCCATGGGATTCTCTTAAAAACCCTTGGGTTTCACATGCAGCTTTTTAATAATAAATTCAGTACACATTCATTGTAAAACATAGAATTTCTGTAGATTGTAACCTGCCTGCCATATTAATGTAAGATCCCTTGGTTAAAGCTCCCACAGACATAAAATCAGAATCTGTATAAACCCTTTAAATATTTTGGGACAAAAGTGTATTGTATGCTAGCCAATTGGGACATTACAATTCAAATGGTTCTGCTCAGAACCAAATACCATCAAATGAGAATTGTAGCATATGTCACATGGCATACCAAAAGCTTATATAATTAATTACTAAAGGTTTATAATGCACAGAGACTAACCAATTTATCAATATCCCCTGTTTAACAGGGACGTAGGCTGGTTTCATCTTGGGGGGAGGGTTCAAAAATAGGGAATGCAAAACTGGGTGGTGCGAAAATTTAGAAAGCTAAACTATAAAATAATGGTAATTTTTAGTATTTTAACTCCCTTAGTGGAAGTAATTTATAAAGATTTCTGTTTTTATTTCTCTACACCACCCCCACCCCCTTAAAAAAACAATTGCTTCATCAAGTCCTGTTTTGGTGTTAAACAACAATTTAGTTTACATTTAAAAAAATAATATTTACAAAAATGTTAATTTAAAGTTTTAGTCTTTGTACATTTAAATAAGAGAAGATAAGAAGGGAAGTAAGAAAATGAAATGTATTTTTTAGAAAGTAATGATAGGTAACAACATAATGTATACTTTTTCCTTTTTGTTGCTTTTAATGTATCATGTATATTATGTTTTTGTGTTGTGTTATATTATTGCAAATAAAAACCAATTTATTACTGTAGTTTGGTTAAAAACAAATGATCCAATAAAAGAGTAACTATTACTACTAGTATTGATTGCCTTTATATATTTCTTCAAAAGAGTGACGGTGTATCACAGTACAGTATCCGATTACTAGAAAAATTAACAGAATATGATATTTGATATGCACAGTAAAAGCTACTTTGTCATTGCATTTCAACAGTTATTATTATTGGAAGACTTTTGCCTTTCGCTCATCTTTAAAATCACGTACAACATGTGGTTGGAAAGGCACCTAATGAATGTTGAATGGCCCACCAAGCAGCTAATGAAAGGGGCACCGTAGGGTGGTGGAACAACTCTTGAATAAGGACTATAAACTAAGGCCCATCAGTGTACACAAATAGCTCATGTGCACTATGATTTAAGCTTATTATTCTCCTAATTTGTTGTTTAATTTGTGCCTGGTAAAAAATAATAAACAAAACAAATTATTTTTATAATTATTACTATATTATTAATCATTTGGTTACTACATACAGCAATAAAGACGGTTACATTGTATTATATTGTCATTTTGTGTGGTATATTTAAGTATTATTTGGCTCTTTTACTAAAAATATTATTTATTATACAAGATAATTGTTCTCCATACAATAAAATAAAGTATTGTACTCTTATACACTAAAATATTTTAAATATTTCATTCAGGTTTATATAACAAATTCTGAATTTGCACTACAAAACTAAAATTCATCAATATTTTCAATATTATGTATATCACAGTTTTGTTGCTACTCTGTAGTGTATAATTTCTAATAATAATACATTACCTGAAAATATAATTACCTTTTATTAATATGAAAGTATATACATACTCCAAGTATTGAAATACACGCCATCGTGTTGGGATTCAATATTTTGACATTAATTATGTCATCATCAGGAATCTTTTTTTTATTAATACAGTACTAAATACTATGGTAATACTGTACTTTGCTTTACCTATTTACTAAATGGTCGTGGACTGTATGGGCGGTACCCTGGAAAATATAAACACGTGCTCTGTAATGTCATATGACGAACGTTGGTTGCTATATTATTAAATTCATTGTGTATTTCCCTTTCTAATTGTTATGTTAATGCGATATATTTATCTACTTGAAAAGTGACCTTCATACAAAACGATTTTTTCTTTAGAGACAATAACATTCTATGAATTTTGAAAGTAGAAGTTAAGATCAATTAAGTACAGAGATATTCTGTAAAATAGAACAAAAATACAGAAGGGGGTTTGAACAGAAGATCGAAGATTTGCCTGTCGGCATGACATCATACGCCCACAAAAGGTAGTAAACAGATTACGTCATATTTTTTTGGCTTCATTGATTGGTATAGTTATGAAGCGTAGACTATTTACAGAGGGGTGTTAATAATTTATATTAATATCTTTTTAATATATGTACTCAAATTAGGTATAATGTTACAAAATAATAACTTTGTTAAATTTTAGTAATTCAATTTGTCCAAATATTCACTGCGATAATTATTTTCTTCCTGGTTAGTTAAAGGGGCGCTCACGTGTTTGACAATTGTTTGGTATCGACCATCACCTTATGCAAATTACGAGCGTCCTGTTTGGGTAAGGTTTGACGCGAAAACGAAGGCGCGTCATGGCGATTTGTAGGTGAAATTAGCTATTTTATAGTGGCTATTATGTTCGTTGGTTGTCCTATACAAACAAAGAAATTATTACAATCCAAGTGTGGCTGAAAAACGCGGAAAACATGAGTATAGAGACGTTATTAGAGGCTGCCAAGTACGTTGAGCTTAGGTCTTCTATGCAACCCACACGTGGTGGCGATGGGGGTGAGTAATCGACAAGCACATGCAAGCGACCAATTGACAGCCTTCGCTTTTTCCTACTCTAGTGATTGGCTACGTCATTCTTTCTCAGCTAATTTTATCTATAATTTTAATTTATTTACGTTGTCTAATGTATAGAACAACAACGGTAATGGTTGCTTTTATTTATGTTAGCTGTCATTTTACAATTCTAGGTTTAGGCCTAGTATTTGATTATAATATGTACGTACATACGCGATCATTTTCCGTGACCTCGTCGCACATGAAATCGTTGATGACTGCTAATTGGAATATTCCATTTTTATTGAAGGGGTTGTCACTCAAACTCTTCCGGCTAGTACTGTACTGTCTACAGAAATCTGGAAACCATCAACAGCTTATATATCACCGCCAAGGACCAGCTCAAAACACGTGAAAGTACCAGCTGTTGAAAAAAAGAAAGAAAATCGTCAACAGCAAGATGATGATGTTTATTATGATGAGATGGAATTTTCCTCCTCTGGAAATTTGAGTAATTCTGATTTTTCCGGAGATTGGTCAGATAAGCGAAGGCAAGGCGGGTAAGAATACAAATATTTTTTTTCCAAATAAAAATTGGCAATTATCCTACTGTAGCTAAGTAAGCGTAGGCCTACCTCTTTTTTCAAATAGGAGTCAAACAATGTGTTTACATCATTCATCACAATTAGATACATTATTCCCATGTTAATAATACTGTTCCTCTTAGGCACATTATTTTAATATTTGTTTTAAAAAAAGTTTATATATTTTTGTTTGTTGTATGGCGATTTATTCGCATATAATAGGGCATCATGACCAACACACAACGTAATACGAAAAACAAGAAGTAGAATACAGTTAAACTTGCCTATATAGTCAACTTTGCCTAACTTCGATTTTATTTTACATGCCAAATTGTTGTCTTCCATTAACGATCTGTAAAGTACATTGGCATTCTGTATGTATACTGAAAATAGCAGTACATCAATAAAATTATATAAACAACAGCGTTATACATTTGTTTTGCTTTCTAGCACATACAGTACACAATGTTGAGGATGCAGGTGGTTTCTCATTAGCTTCTATTGTATCAGAGCGTAACTTTAGAATGTTGTGATTGTGTGTTATTGACAATGGATTTAATTATGAATGGATTTATTTACGGAGGGATTTAATTATGAATGATGCGGACCGAATTAATTTTCTAGAATATTCTAACGTGTATATTCTGAAGCGTAATAACAGATTATAATGAGGCAGCATTTCATGATAATCGAATATATAATTCTGTTAAAATATCCACTGAAAATTGGGGAGGGGGGTCTTGACAACTATATTTTGGATAAAACATCATAAAATCACTTCATTCAGATTTCTTAAACAACAAAAAAATTAATGTTAATTTTTAAGGAATAGTAAACTATTTTTAACATTTTATATTTCAGGGCTGGAACCAGGGAGGTCCATAACAAGTTAGAGAAGAATAGGTATGTTTAAATACACAGACAGTTCATTGGTTTATGAATAGGTATGTTTAAATACACAGACAATTCATTGGTTTATGAATAGGTATGTTTAAATACACAGACAATTCGTTGGTTTATGCAAAAAATGTAGGAACTAGTGTATTTATTGTTTGGTGATGAAAATATGTTCTAGTTTATCAATTGAAAACTAATAATTTTTATTACTGTACAAACTAATGTACAGTTAGAATTTTAAATATTAAATTATTCAATTATCATGTTAGGTTACCTCAACTTCTGTAGTATATCTGTACAATTTGTTATATAATAATAATAATAATTTATAATCATCATCATAATTTTTGTATATTTATTTAGTGTACAACTACAGTAATATACTGTATACAAAAGTCATAAAGTATGTTTAGCATTTCTTTTGTTAATTATTTTTGCCAAAGTCATTAGTCTCTTGTTATTGCCAGATAAATGTAAGTTAGTTTTAGACCATGTTGAGGCAACCTTCCCCCTGAAGTTAATTTACATCAGATATAATATTGTGCATTATTCTTTGAAGGAGTGTTCACACATAAATTAAACAGGGGAAATATGCAAAATTATTTTTGAAGCTGTTTTTATGTAAATACATGCACAATTTCTGAAGGTGATCAGCACCAACCACTCTTTTCCTACACAGTTAATTTGAAATGGCAAGATTTCTAGGCACATAATGGGAATCATTTTTCAAGACATTCTTTTTATTTTCTTGACACAATTTTAATTTTCAGACGTGCTCATCTTAAAGAATGTTTTGAAGGTTTACGCTACCAGATACCCAATATGCAAGACCACAAAGTCTCCAACCTGAGCATCCTTCGTGGCGCATTCAGATTTGTGCAGGTGATCTTTATTTTCCACTTTATATTTTACCATACTCCTTCCTTTTGAGTTGTTTACATGTAAAATGCTCCACCCTTCTCGCTTCAGCTGTTTAGGTCCTATGTTTGAGATATTACAGTATCCGTGCTAAGGTGCTGAAATGCAAGTCATATCTCGTGCCATCTTACAGAAGATATTTATGCTGTAAGGCGAGACTCTTTTTATACCCTGTTTAGCAAACCTGCCGCCCGCCAATTGAATTAAGCAGTGTATTGTGTTTTTCAGGTTAACTAGTTTTAACCTTGAAATAATTATACTACCTACTGTACCAACATTACACACCTGTTAATGGTAGTTGAAACCTAACAATATTGTTTCTGGGTTTTTTCATAACTAAGAATAATTATGATTCTTCTTACTGTGAATATACTGTATTAAAGATGTCATTATGGATGTTAAAATAAATACTAGCCTAGATTGACATAACTTTACAATATTTATAATCATATTGTATACATAAGTTTCCTTAACTTTAAGTATTAATTTAAAGCTATCACCAAAAATAATACAATTATAAAATTTGTTTCATCAACAAGTATTCCAAAGCAGTCAAAATAGTAAATACATTTACATTAACTTAAAATTTCATATGCAATAAAGTTGTTAAATTTTAAAATAGAATTATTTACAAACAAATAAAAATATTCAGGGACTGTCTTAACAATTCTGTGCTGTGACAGTGACATTATTGTTTCTATATGGATCATGGTCATCTCAAATATGGTCTATAAGAAGTAAATTACCTTTGTATGTGTATGAATGCAAAACATTCATTAAGTAATATGCAAAGAATCTGAATTCAGAATGTGTTTATGATTTAAAGAATCAATCTACGGTTGTAGTTATATACTGTATTCTACAGTGAATGAATATTTGTTTTGAGTGATGATAAAGAAAAAATATATCAAATTGTGGTATTCAAGCTAAATATAAACCAAAACAATTTCAATAATATGTACAATACTAAGCTACTGTAGTTCTAATCTGTGGTGAAGGAAAGTTCATTAAGTAATTTGCATAATACTTTATGGTGCCTCAACTCTGATCGCCAATGCAAGGTGAAGGGTTCACAACATGACATGGCACTTACCAGGTTGCAATTCGCTCAGTGAAATCTATTTCCTTGATCACAAGTAAAGTAGCCTTTGTAACTTGTCCACAAAATGTATTTGCACATATTATGATAATCATCATGTTTTGTAACTTCCTTATTTTCTGTTGTGTACAGTGACTGTGACTGTAAAACACAGCACAATAAAATACACTTTTTTTTTTATAAGAACCAGTAAAAAAAAACTGTACCTCAAACAAAGTCAGTGATTTAGTTTCTATTTTACTTCATTTATTTACAGTAGTCAGTTCATCTACAAATCTTTTTGTGCCTTGCTTGTAATTTACTTTGTGGTACTGTATTTTAGAAGCCATTTTGATTCTAGTTTCTATTTTTTAAGGTACTTAATTAGAATTCCTAGATCAGGTATGACACACAATATGGTTTTATGTTACCATCATAGAATATGCCATAGTTGACTACTTAATGTAGCATACCATATTTATTCAAATAAAAACCACGCCCCCTCCAGAGCCTCATTAGGAACAAAAACCTCCCTCGAATAAACGCCTTGGGGCGTTTATATTTTGCTTGAATGAATGGCCCCTCTCCCCTAATTAAACGTAAACAAAACTAATGGAAGCAACATAATTCTCAAAACATTCCATTAATGTTTTCTCCAGTAGAATTACACATGTTTCTAACCTGGTTGAGATCAATATTAATATTTATGACACACAAAAACACATTTTGATGGTACTGTGTGTTGTAGGTCCACATTTACAGTAAAAATTAAAGGGGGTTTATTAAAATATATACATATACATATGGGTACATATTTATATGGATACTGATGTTCTTGAAAGAATATCTGAGGTTAAAGTGTTAGGGATATGGGTTCAAAATTACATTAAATGGGCCAGGAATATTAAAGAAATTGTTTGCAATGGTAGGAAACGTTTACATTATGATATCCAGGCATTAAAGTTTTGGGGTACCCATTGAAGATTTGGTTGATATATATCAAACGTACATTAGAAGCTGTTTGGAATATGTTGCGTCTGTATGGCACTCGGGCCTAACTACTGAGCAAAGTAACTTGATTGAATCGGTGTAAAGGCGTGCGTGTAGGATTATTTTGGGTTGGGACTACGTTCATTACGAAAGTGCATTGAATATCTTAGTGCTTGATAAGTTGACTACTCATAGAATTAACCTGTGTTATGAGTTTGCTGTTGGTTGCTCCAGGAGTACTGGGAACTCATCTTGGTTCAAATTGAACAGTTCTTCTCACTGTATGTCCCTTAGACGGCTAAGAAAATATGATGTGCCTTTTAGAAATAGTGCTGTCCCTTTTTTGACAAATTTGATCAAGTATAACCACTGAGATCCTGTCTTGTCTGTGGAATGTTTTGGTACTTCATGAGTATGTAATTCAGCTGTGAGGCTGCGATTTGCATGAAGTTGTGAATAAAGAATAAAGAATATACATTTTATTTTACACTCAAAAGCACCTCAAAAACCCTTCTGACGAATTTTGTAACCATTGTTGTCATTTATAGGGGATTATATCCCGGTGTACTGTCCAATCACCACCAGAAGGACCCCACTGGAAATAAGTCTTCTTCTAGACTTTCGTGGGCTATCCTTGGTGTTTACACCGAATAAATCCAATCCAATATGTTATAGTACTAAGTAATTATTAAATACTTTCATACTTTTATTATACTCTCCTAAATTTTGTCAATATATTTAATATTGTAAAATATTACTACAGTATGTTGTATAACATTTAACTCAACTGTTTTGAATTTGATATGTTGAAAAATTGCACTGACAAAAATTTTCAAAATTAGATGTGAACCTCCAGAGAATCCAACCTAATTTTCCGCCACAAATCCAGACAAGCTAATGGTGATACAAGAGACTTAACCTAATTGCATAAAAATAACATTGGCAATCTAAGCTATCAATGACGTTTGCATTCTAAGTCCTTTTTCAAGAATAATTTTTCACATTTATTGTGAATGTGACCTTTAATAATAAATTTAAAACCCTAGTCTTGAAATAATTAATAAGTGATGAAAATGTGTTTAATGCAAAAGCCCCAATGTCTAACAATAATTAGCACCAATGAAACACCTGCAAACTATAATTTCTTGTAACTAGATCCTGAAGAGAAAGGAGAAGGAACTTGAACATGAGTTGGACCGGCTTGTCAGACACAAGATTGAAATGCAAGGTCGTTTAATGCGTCTGAGAACTGACGTAAATCGACGTCTAGACACAAGTGACAAAATCAAACTACCATGGCATTCAAAGGCAATGGGAAAGAAAAATGCTAGGAAGGCCGAGAGAAAAAGAAAAGCTGTTGTACATCATGAGGATGATGATGACGGGGCATCTACATCCACAGCGTCAGGTAGGCATAACATTTAATGTTGTGGTGTCTTCTTCTGTCATCACACTGTTTTCTGTCACTACTGCATAATTTTGTGGTTTATGATTCTGTGTTAGTCTATGTTTATGTCGTTCATTTGTCTGTTAGGCAACACTTTTTTTATACCTTGCTTTGCGAACCCGCTACCCTCCAATATTGATAATTTAGAATAAAAATAAAATTTTTGGCAAATAATCAAACCCGTTGCCGCAAAAAAACTGGAAATTTCTAAAAAAACATTGAAATCTCCAAAAACACGATATGTATATTTCTTCCTATGTATAAATTTAAAGCATTTAACCATTCCATTACTACACTGTTTACATTCGACAATAAAATTTTATTTTTATTTTATCCTCCATCAAGATGTTTTGGGCAAAACTATTAGCTAAACAAGAACAATTTTTAAAAATTTAAACAAGGTTAAAAAAAGTCTCGCCTTAATAGTTCCAAATTTGCTAACGTTGATATTTATGGTTACACCATATTCACTGCATTTGTCGAGCATATGAATTTGCAATTTCCTTTAACAAATTTAAAAAAAAGGAATCTTGCACATTCATTGTGCATTTATAGTATTATTTTATAGCATTTTGTTTCATTTTGTTATTTCAGTTTTTAGTCTTTAATTACAACAAAAGCACTACAAAAAATAGAATCTACTCAATAATACAATTATGTATTTGTATAATTAGCAAATAAGATAAAATGAACATATACTTTAATCTATATAATGTAAAATTTAATAGTAAATGTAATATAAAATGAATCAAGAATTTAGAGAAATTAAAATTGTTTTTTACAGAAGCTGAGGAAGAAGAGAGACGGTCAAGAGCTCATTCTCCAGTGGCTGGCTCTTTATCAACAAATGAGTCCAAATCAAAATTGCATCTTCAAGCTCCACCCCATTCGCTGGGACACGCCAGTGTGATTCAGAGCACTGGCCAGCCTAAACAGCAATTAAAAGTAGTGCCTCACTCATTCCAGCCAGGTGAATCGCTTTTACCAACCACTGTCGGAGTTGATAATGGGCATGGTACGATTAATAAAGGCAGAGATGTGCAACCGTTAGGGACCGAGGCCCAATCGCTGCTTGCGTCAAGGCCAACTGTCAGTCAGTTGCTGAATAAAAACTCTGGTTTAGAAAAACTGTCACCGAAGAAAAGGCATGGTGCTGCGCCAACACTACATATTATTCATACAGGTAACCAAGCTGGCATCAAGCAGCATACACCAGTGATGGTAACACAACCCAAAATAACCATGTTGCCCATGACCACTAACCAAACAAATAGCACCGGCCATGTATCTCATGCACCGCCTGGTACCAGCCGGAACGGCAGTCCAATGCCAACAATGTTAGCCTCGGCATTGAGTGGACATTTGATGCATTCAGCAGTAGACCACAGGCACTTAACACACGTATCAGCGGTGCAACCAATTTCCAGCAGCACCCTCAACACATCGACGGCCGCGCAGCCTGTGATAGCTTCACTGCAAACACAGAATATTTTCAGCACAGAAAAAACTCGGCCTGGACTTGCAGGTCGTCTGCATGCACCATTCACTCAGATACCCTTTAGTCCTGCAATCACGCAGGTGCTGTTATCACAACCCTCAATTACAGCCTATACACTTGCTAGACAGGTGCCTTTCAGTCATACAATAATTAGACAAACATTGACACCTGCAAACTCAAAATATGCATCAAGTTCAACCTCACCTGTCACCATTATGACCACCTCGTCACAAAAGACAATAGTGTCACCGAAAAGCACATCACCCGCAGTGTCCTTGGTGACAAATACAGTTGCAAAAAATGACTCTGTGGACCGTCTAGTGACGGCGACATCTACAATCGTGATTCCAGCTCCGCAGACGGTCAGCAGCCCTCGGGTCTTTCCGACAACATACCTACAAGCATCACGGCCCGGAATGCATAAGCACCCGGTTCAGCAGCCGGTTAACCAAGTTGGAACTACGGCTAGTAGTGCAGCTCCCATTTTAAAAGCATACCCAATGTTCATACCGAGGTACAGGACTGTAGGGTCAGTTATAAGTGGTCAGAGACCATTAGTCTCGGGTGTTGCTGTGACCCCTAAGCTGGTCACCCAAAAAGGCAATGGAAGCACAGCGACTATTATTGTTCGGCCATCTCTTGTCAATACGACCGACAAATCACAGCAATGATGTGAATGTTTGAAGTAAAATATTACATGTTAATGTTATAACAACCTTAATAGATCCTTGTCATTTGATTGGTAAATTTCGTATCACGTGACATTGGTTATGTAACCCATTACTTCACTCATCATGGAAATTTAGTTTCACCGTGCATTTTTACTTCCATCTGTGCATTTTTGTTTCATCCGTTTCGCTCCATTGTACAGCGCCTAGTATACAATACATGACTTTAATCTAATACAATCTTTTGATTGGGTTAAAAGACACTGGACTGTTCCATTTAGAAAGAATGTAGATTTTTTTTCATAAATTATCCAATGACAAGAATCTCCATTCAGAAAAAAGGTAGATATTTTCATAAAATATCAAATGACAAGAATCTAATTTAGTTGTGTTATAAAACAAATAATTGATGTTTTTTATTCGCACAATAGAAAGAATATTTTCATTCGTTGAATAATTGACTGTTCGAATGGAACAATCAGTCTTTTAACTCATGAAAATATACTTCCCATTGCACTCGTAAACATTTGTATAACAGTTGTGTTGGAGCTTTACAGATAAGTTGCACCGGAAACCATTTAATCACTAGGTAACATCTCCATGTTAAGGCTAGCTTCTGTGTTGAGGGAAACTATGTTGGAAACTCAAAATCGCCAGTGTTGTCCCAACACCAAGGTTTTTTTTAAATTTTTGGAATGAGGTTGAATCACTGTAGTATGGCTATGTTCAGAGCTATGTTCCAACTCAAATTCCAGAAGTTGGATTTGTTACACTTGATACACCGTGAAGATAAGTAAGTGTTCCCACTAGGTTTTGAACCTCATCCTAGTAGTAGAACACTTTAAGGTGTCCTTTTGATATTAGCATAATGCATTCATATGAGTTTGCTTTCGTATGTATTCAGTACAACATCATATAATAACTAGTTTACAAGTATGCAATACCTTGAGAAAAGCATGTACTTAACCGGTTAATCTAATTTCCTATTCCCACCAGACAAACTTTTACTTGGGCATGTGCTAAATATTATATGGACTTACCAAGATATCCCCACCGAGTTGCCATTATCAATTAGTACCTTGTTAAAATCCATGCTAAAATATCTTAGATGTTTTACAGGTGTCTGCTATGTCTGTGTTTTAATAGATGCATGGGATGCATGCTAATCTTGAGTTCTGTTCAGACTATACATGTGACATGCCTGTATATAGTCATGACATCACATGACCATATATAGACACATCATGACTATATATATAGGCACATCATGACTATATATGGGCACATCATGACTATATATGGGCACATCATGACTATATATGGGCACATCATGACTATATATGGGCACATCATGACTATATATAGGCACATCATGACTATATATGGGCACATCATGACTATATATGGCATACAAAAGTTTTTTGTCAAAGAAAATTTGATAGTGTGGACAGTGCATTACACAGATGGGCATTCACACAGACGTAATTTTGCCACAGTTACTTGCTCAAATTTTTCTAGCATTTTTTTCTCATGTGAATCGGGTACAGTATTAGGCATTTTTTTTTTTTTTTTTTGGGAAGATAGATTATCTTTTCATAATAAAATTGTGTATAACTTTTGGTATTTATTAAGATAGAATTTTCAAGTGTTGAATTCATTTTATTTTTCACAATTGAACAAAATTTTGATTTACAATCCAACTTTAAATAATTTTACCATTTAATTTTTTTTCCATTATGTCATGTGAATGTTAATACAGAAATGACAATTGAAATGCCTACCTAGTGAAATTTAACCATGAGTTGCGAGTGTAAAACGTACAATAAACTTTTGTATCAATTTTTAAGAGCATGAATATTTCAATTTCAAATTTGTCATCAATCTGAAACTGATTGAATTGTGTGTTGCTGTTGTTGCACATGTACAAGACCCATCCCCCTTAAAGTATGTTGTCTTGGACACAGTAAGAAGTGACTCAAAATATTGAGATCTATGAATTAATTAAAGTAATAAATATTCTTGTAATAAATGCCTTTTTTGTATATTTGGTAAATCATAAGTCCAGGATAATTTTCATATGTTCTCCATTTTTAAGATTAATAAAATCATTACTAAAACATTCAGGATACTATGTAAACAATTATTGTATTCAAGTAACAATTAATATTTCATACAGTATATTGCTGATTATTATAAAATGTATCTTAATTACTTTATAGAGCAGGTCATTTTATATACATTTGCAGGAATTATTGACAATTATAACTTTAAACTCTATGAAGGAATCAAGTTTAGCTAGATAATTAGTATATACCTATTGAATTCTGCGTATCTACGATGTATGTATAACAATATCAAATATATTTTTAACTATGTCATATTACTGGGCATACTGTAGCAGGTGTATCTCCAAATGGAATTAAACGAGTGTTTTGTGTAGTCATGTTTGGTTAATAAGTAGAAATATAAAAAATATTATGAATTTATGGGAGATGGGCTGTTCTCCAGGAGGTTGTTGCTTGCTTGCAGGCAATAGGGAGGTCGTTACAATTTTCCGGCCGGGAGACTTAGTGATTTGTAGGAGACTTGGGCCACCATATTCTGTATGATCATGAGAGAGACTGTAAATGGTCGAATAAGCGCCGCAGCGCTTATAAAATTTACGAAGGCTTCAGTGTGGCGCTTATAAAAAAATATGTGGCACTTTCCATGCCCGTTCCCATGTTACCTATTTCACATATTCCCATAGTTGAGTAGGCCTATCATGGGTTCTATCATCGTAAACAAACGTTTATAGAGAAATGCTTGTCTTCATTGTGTTAATTTTAACACTGTATACATTGTATTTAAAACCCTGTTTCATTACACACAGTGTAGTATTATAATCTCTCGATTAAGCAAATGCGCTTATTCAAGAACAGGTCTAATTTGAGCATTTACGGTATTTCAGAGGGTTCAGTGGAGTAAGCAACTATATATTTTTTATTGTATATTAATGCTACTACTACTGTATTGTATATTAATGCTACTACTACTGTATTGTATTTTCCCAACTGGGTTAAGGTTTTTTTAACATAGTGAAAATCAACTGAAAACCAAAAAATACATCATTATAAAGTAGAATGTCGGTGCCAAAAGATAATGGGTGCCAAGTTTTTTTCATTCAACTAAATGTAGATTAATATAGGGTCATTAGTGATAATGAGCAACTTGGTTGTATACATATCACAGTTAGGCAAAAATCAAAATCTAGTGTTGGCCACGTTTTGGGAAAATCCCAAAAATGGGTAGGTCGCTAGTAAAAAATTATGTGCTTGTGCCTAAATGTAGAAAATACACAAAAATACAACAAAGAGCATTTTTAAATCTATATTTAAGAGCAAAAACGATCACAGAACACTGTCGCATCGCCTACCTTCCAGCAAGATGGACCTATTCCAGTCTTTTTTGCTCATTAAAAAAGTATTTTTCATTTTAGTCCAATGAAAAAAGATTAAAATGCCGAACCTCAATTTCGTACATTTTGGGTCGGCCGGGTGTGGCCAACACTAATTTTTTTTATTTTGCCTTTCTGTTAACTATTCTCTCATTGGAAGCTATTGACAATGTCGCCCTCTACAGTATAGAGTATTGCAGAGTTAGAATTGGTTACTGTTAATATTTTCATTCGGTGGCTATGAAGTCACCCTCTACAGTACACAGTACAGTATTGCTAAAAACAAACGAATTAGTTAAATTGAATGTGGATGTATCATATTGTACCTGGGCATAGATATGTTCATCTTGTGCCATGTAGCTATTTTACAATTTTCACACCTGTGTCAATCTGAAATTATCCCTACATGCTCATCTGTTGCATTGTGTCAGGATGTGTCCATATTACCTGTGCTAAAATGGAGTGGAGTTTCCTTCCAATCCCATGGTCCTGAGTTCAATTCCTGTGACAGCTGAATTTTTTCTCATGACTAAAAACAACTCCACTCACT